GCCACATACCAGTACTGCCACCTGTTGAGGAGTTACGAAGGTGGAGGCATTACTTTTCATTCAACCCTCGTAGTAGGATTCTGGGAGACCTGGGTTGAAATCTGGCTCTGCTAGATGCTAAACTTTCCTCTATACCAATCTTGGGACATGAGATTAGCCTCCCACAGGATGGTAAAACATCCTGGCGTCCCCTGGGCAACTTCCCTGCAGGCGGCCAATTATCTCACACCAGAAGCTCCTTGCCGGTTCTCAATCATACAAAAAAAATCATGTAAAAAAACAAACACGATAAGTTCATCTTACAGCCACTACAAACCAGAAAAGACTGGAAGGTGTACAACAACGACAAGGAAGTGACAAGATTGGTATTTACACAGAAGGTCAGTTAGAAATACGTTCTTGTCTTGCAGTGACAAAGATGGGATCCTACAATAACCCTACCTTTGTGCACTGAGCACAATTTGGTCCCCATGCCATCCCGAGGCTTTGTCTCTGGTAAAAAAGGAAGGATCCCACCACCCAAAATACCAGCTGGACCAGTTCATCCCCTGTTGCCACTGTTGCTTCCAGTGTTCTTGCTCTGAATGGTGAATGAAGGTCTTCATTAAGAACCCTTACCATTCAATAGTTTTTCATATTGCTGTCTTGTTTCCAAAAATACTTCTTCGAACTGAAAAAAAGGAAGGAATTGCATGGATTGTTTTTGTATTTTAAAAAAAGAACTGTCATGGCATCCTAAAGCTTAACTGAGTTGTGGCATATGTGTTTTTGGGGGCCAGCCTACTCTATCAATGTTCACTTCAGTGGAGAGATTTATGTCTCACAAATACTTTAAGAACAAAGGATTTATTTTCCTGAAGGCTGGAGAACAAAGATAAAGCAATGTAAGAACTAGCAGTTGGTTTCTCACAGTATTGTGCAAAGCAAAGAACAGGAATGCTGAATAGGTAAACATATTGCCCTGTTGTAGGATTTTATTGTTAGAGCTAAGTTAGTATTTAGTCTTTTTCTTAGGACACATCCTCAGGGGCAGTAAAATCAGTTCTATGGTGACTAAATGATGMATAGAGCTGATCTGAGTTAGTGAGGGTGAGTGCCAGATTTATCATTGTGCTTAGGTGTGTTTATGCACAGCACCCTGTTGACCGGGGGGGGGGGATCTTCCCCCCCCCCCAATTATGATTGTTTTTGCTTATGTGGTGCAATTCTAAGTTTGGAAGCATTCTGTTTTAGAGCAATTCCAGACACAATCATCGAKTTGATAGYCTATGGGAGCGTGCCACAAAGCAGGCAGTGTATCCCTACTTGGCCTATCTCCTTCAGGGCCCAAGGAAGGGGCCTCATAACTTAACTAGCACAAGGCTGCATTTGTCCTAAATCCGGCACTGGTCAGAACAAAGACCACCACATTAACCAAAGTCATGGGTTGCTCTGCATTCTCCCCAAGAATCTGAAACAAACCACAATCATGGACCCATGTAAACAGTTGGGTCGGTTCTGAGACTGAACTGACAATTGTTTATATGACAATTCCATACTCTCTGGGATTACGCAGTCCAGGGATAAAAGGTGGCACTCACCACCCACCCCATCTTCTCATCATGACCAGTGGATGCGACAAAGCTCGTGATTATAACTGAAGTGAAGAAGCAATCACAAAAGGGAAGAGAAAGTCCACTGGAATGCCTTCTCTCCCTTCTCACATTGTTTTGGTGACACAAGCCCTATCACTCTTGCACCACTGGGCTGTCAAGTCTCCCTCCTATCTCTGCAGTACTCTGAGGAATGGCAGTCTAAGCTAACTGAAGATTGAACTAACATTCATCATCCAGATCAGTCCTGAGAGAAATGTCCAGGCTAGACTCACCTTTGGTCTAAAAATGCAAATTACCTCTGTTGCAATGTCAAGTGTTACATTTTAAGAAAGATTCTGTAATGGATTAGATCTTAAATTAGTGTTGCCAGTAGCTTCCATGTAAAGGAAGAAGAGAGGGAAGAATCTGCTCTGGATTTTAGAATCATAGAGTTGGAAGAGGTCTCTTGGGCCATCCAGTCCAACCCCCTGCCAAGAAGCAGGAAAATCACATTCAAAGCATAGTCTGAACCTTAACTGGGCTGTTCAAGACACTGAAGTCTATCTTCTAAAATAGGTCAATTTCTTTCAATAACTTTCTTTAAAATTCAGGCTAAAACTTTACTACCCATTTGAGATGGAAACCACCAACTACCATTGTGAAGGCCCTCATTGTCACAGCCATATATTTGAGAAGATGCTACATTACATACACATTTTCTAGAGTACTTGGGATTTTCCTTTTCAGAAAGGAAATATTGGACAAGTTGCATACTCTTATACTATTTCTTGGATTTTGGAATGTCTGCATATACATAAGGAGATATGTTGGAAATGAGACCCATTTATGTTTCATATACACCTATACACATAACCTGAAGATAATTTCACACACAATGTGTGTTTATAATTCTGTGCATGTGTACATTGAATCATCAGAAAGCAAAGGTGTCACTGTCTTAGCCACCCATGTGCATTATTTTGGAATATTTTGGATTTTGGAATTCCCAATAAGGAATACTTAACTAGGGTCATCTGGGGTGAGATGTAAGAATGTAAATCAGTGGTTCTCAACCTGTGGATCTCTAGGCGTTTTGGTTTACAACTCCCAGAAATCCCAGCCAGTTTATTAGCTGTTAGGATTTCTGGGAGTTGAAGGCCAAAACATCTGGGGAACCACAGGCTGAGAACCACTGATGTAAATGAACAAATACTGGTGGTGTACTTTACCCTTCTTTGTCTTCTTTAGGCACTCTCCACGTGATAAAACCAGCAACTAATATGAAAAACTAATTGAGGAAAAACAAAGATTATACAGACCTCAACACCAGCCGCTGCTAACAGCCAGCGAATAGATTCCATTCTCCCTCTTCCATTGAAATAGTAAAGTCTGGGTTTCCCCGTCATGGTTAGAGTCAAGTGTGATATATTCTGAAAAAAAAGTTAAGTATGTTCATTCTGCATGGGGACTGCAAAACCCTTGTGCCAACACAAAATTGTGCAGGATGTACCTCTCATAATACCAGTGAAGAATCTTGTGGCACCAGTATTGAACTTTATTTGGCAGGAGTTTTTGTGAACAGATTCTCCCATAGGCTGTTGCTCATGAAACGGTATACCATATAAAGCATATCTCAAATAAAACAATGTTAGTTTTTGCTGCTAGAAAACAACATAAGCCCTACCCCTGTTGAGTGATTTCAGATACCACTATATTGTGGGTTGGTGAGTCCAGTGTATCATGCGGCCAAAAGATCAAATGAGACACAGACAGATGTGAAGGCAAAAGTTGAGGTATTTAATCCCAGTGGCTAAGGAGGATATCACCCAAAGTACTGGCATAAAGCATTAGAAAATACAGAGGAAATTGGTGTTTATCAATAGTAAACTATTTAGTTCATAGGCACAGGTAATATTTTATCAATGGGAATGGGTGCACTTAAATGCATACATTAAGTAACTTTTCCCATTCTCCCAATCCATTGTGAGAGGATTAGTCAGACCTAGTACACACCAGGGCTGGGTAGCCTTCCAAAGGTGATTTCAATTAACACAACCTTGTGGAGGAGGGAGAGGCAGCCTTCTTGATCTTATTGGAATTGCAAAACATAGGAAGGCAGTCTGCTGGCATTGTGAGACTGTCTGGAGAAATATTTAATATAAATTCATTTGTAATTATTTAGTGTTCACTAGGGGTCCATTTTCTCAATAACTCTCTAGGAAACTTTTGAAATATGCATTGCACAACTGGGAACTAATTGTGGATTTTTGCTATGCTTTGTTCTTAATTTTATGGGTTCACTTGAAAATATTTACATCCTGGTTCTTTGTATTGGGCTGAATGTGATGACACAGAATAAACAATCAAATCTAAAAAACAACACCATAACATTTGGAAACCCCCAGTAACTGGAAGAAAAATCTTTTAGTCTCAAAGCTATCCACCAAGCCTCCAATAAAAATGGATGGATAATTCCACGAATCATGAAGTTCAAAGAGCCTGCTAAATAAACTGGTTAAATATTCCCTTTTTAAGATTGGACAAGACAAATTATAGGTCACAGTTGAATTAACCCTGTGAGGTTTTCTGTCTGTTTATCCACTTCTCAGTTTCCCCAGTTAATGTTCAATCTTGTGTGCCAAGTGGTAATGATGAACCACAACAGCAATAAAATCCATGTGAATATTGAAATAATATTTCTAGCGCAATTAGTACTGCTTTATTTGGTTTAGGAGCCCCCAATGGTGCAGTGGGTTAAACCGCTGAGCTGTGGAACTTGCTGACCTAAAGGTCACCGGTTCAAATCTGGGGAGTGGCGTGAGCTCCCACTGTTAGCCCCAGCTTCTGCCAACCTAGCAGTTCGAAAACATGCAAATGTGAGTAGATCAATAAGTACCGCTCCGGCGGAAAGGTAACAGCGCTCCATGCAGTCATGCCATCCACATGACCTTGGAGGTGTCTACAGAAAATGCTGCCTCTTCGGTTTGGAAATGGAGACGAGCACCATAACCCTCAGTTGGACACAACTAGACTTAATGTCAGGGGAAAACCTTTACCTTTGTCTATGTGGCTTAACTCCATACAAAATGAGATTTAGCAAATAAGTCAAATGTGGAGAACCTGGAATCATCTATATTTTGTTGGACTACACCACCCAAGTTACAACATCTTTGACACCTGGCTGTCTCATCGGGGAATGCAATGCATCTATTGGCTTTCAGTTCTCCATCTGTGCTGCATAATGTATAGACGAGATGCACCTCCATCAACATCAATACAGGCAGTCCCCAAGTTACCACCAAGATAGGTTCTGCAGGTTTGTTCTTAAACTGAATTTGTATGTAAGTTGGAATAGGTACATTTTTAAGTGTAAGTCCATCCATAAATAAAGAATTCTAAGCTTTGGATAGCACAGGGAAGACTTAATTCCGTAGTGTTTCTTTTGCTGCCTGTGCCGGTTCAGAATATTTCACCTCACTTTCTATCCCTGTGATCATTGGCTTTTGAAAAAATTGGCTTGTTGTAAAAATAAGAATTGGAGCTAAAGCTTCAGCGGAAACACTTTTCCCCCTGATAACTTTTTCAGGAGTGAATTTCTCTTCTGAGGGGTGTATTTCTCTCACTTCCTGTTTTCTAACTTCTCTTCTTTACTATGAATCGTTTGTAAGTCAGATGTTTGTAACTCAGGGACTGCCTGTACTTTAAAACATTTCTCCCCCTCCCCTCTTCCTCAGGTGAACATCAGACATGGAATTTAGACTAGATCAAACACGAGCATCTGTAACTAACCTTCTCTGAGCCTTTGGTCTGAGCTCCAGGTAATCTTTTCTGTGGTTGCACAAGAAACTTTGCCTGGAACAATAAAGTCTTAGGACTCCGCCCAGAGGAGAGTCTTGTTTGTGCAAGACATACCAAACTCCTTCCACTCCTTTGTATGATTCGTAAATGCTTTTCTCAGGTGGTGGTCAAATGTTCCACTTCTTGAAACATTAAACTCTATGCTGGCTAAATTCTCTGGGGGTATATATGTGTGTGTGCATGTAAGTCACCTGTCAACTTATACTGACCCGCTGAATTTCATAGATTTAAAATACTGCGGTCAATCCATTCATGACAAAAGCTTGAGGAGCGCCATGGGCGTCTACATGTATGGGAGGTCACCATTCCCAGAACTGGAGATCCAGAAGGCCCCTGAGTTGGGAGATCTTTTGGGAATTTTGAAAACTGGAGTAAAGGACCTTCACCTAATTGTATGACAGCTACCAAAGACATTTTGCCCTGCAGTGCAGAGGACTACACCTCCAGTTTGACCAGAGTGCCTTAAATGCCAAAGAATACAAGGCTATGAGGGTTGGGCACCCATGCTAGCTGTTACATTTGGCCCAGAGAATGAATGCAAGGGTATAAGAGTTGGTCCACATGCTAGCTGTTACATTTGGCCCAGGGAACGAATTTGATGACTGGGTACATCAAAGAAGGAGGCCAGTTGAATGGATCTAAATGAGTCCAACTGGTGAGTGTGTCAAGCTCAAATCCAATGCCTTTGAGCAATGAAATATTAGAGGAATTGATAAAACTGTTAGCCTGATAGTATTCTTCTGATTGTGTTACTTTAACAAAAGATATAGAACTGTGTTTTGGGGAAGAAATAGATGTGATGTCATCAGAATGGTTAATCACAATAGCCCTCAGCTTGCTGTAACACTCAACTTGGGCAGGGTGGGTGAAAACACTGGACATGAGACAAATTGTGATTGTTATGGGGATTACAATATTCTTGTGCTGCTTTGCTTGGATTATATGAGCCTGTAAATTCACAATGTTGTCTGCAATAACCCTTAAGATAAGAGAACAGATACAACTTCCAGATGTGGTTCCCCATTGGGAAAGCAACAGAGAATACATCCCTATGTTAGAAAGGGTATCTCATCCAGACTACAGTGGCTGGCCACAGAAAGAGATCATTACTTGGGAATAGATTAACCACTTATTTCCTCAGCTTACGTAAACTCATTTTGCAAAATAAAATAAAATAAAGTGTGGAATGAAGGAGTCATAGATATATAAGATTTTTTTTATAAATGTTATATGTGACTGCAGGTCCCATCTATAAAGCATATGCAGCCAAAGGTGTAGTTACACAAGGCAGCCACTGTAGCTGGAAGAATGATTCCCAGACTGAACTCCCTAAACTTTCACATAGCAGTCTTGTGCTTACACTTGCAACAAAGAGATAAGCCGGTGCCTGTGTCAGGGTCACCAGGAAAAGATATGAAAGTGCAGATTATTCCAGTTTCAGTTGTTCTGCACCTATTTGCTTGCTTAGTCATAGAGAGCCAATGAGCCAATCAAAATGTATTAGATAAGCACAGGTAAGCATAGACAAATTAGATGGACAATGTGTTAACACCAATCAAAACGTGTTTTCTGGATTTCTGTAAAACAATAAAACTTCACAGCCCCTTTGGGGGGGAGGTGCAGCAGTCTTTTTATGCCTAGAGTGCACCTGCCGCCATTTGCACAGCTGGCAAATCAAATCTCATCTTGAGAGAGATTCAACTCCCGGTGTGTCCTTTCTGTGCCGCCCTCCTAGGTAAGAAGGTGACTCCTGAGAACATGCAGAGTTCATGCCCCTTCAATAGGATCATGTCTTTTGAGATATATTTTTGCCTGATGTTTGAGGGTTAATTTGAAGAGTTAATGTGTAATAGTTGCCATGTTAATATTTTTCTCGTCATGGTTGTGGCAAAAGGCGATTCATGTTTTTAAAGCTGACTTTCCTTCCCCAGAATTGCACCACCTTTGTGAGGGAGAAAACAAAGATCTTGAAGATTTGATTACAAAGATGCATCAAGAATGCTGAAAGTGGACACACCATGGCTTTGAGGAAGAAGATTCAACATTATTTGCAGGATTGCTAACTTATAGTTACCTTGCTCATATGTAACTGCTGAACTCCATAGCCAACTCCATCAAGAGGACCAAGTATGTCAATGGATCCATGATAATAGATCCCCACTAGTCAGCTTGGTCCCTTGACCATAAAGTTTGCATTGGCTAAAAAGAAGGATCGAAGAGTGTAAGAAGAAACTCAGGCCAGAGAATCAGAAATTTATAGGGGTGCAATAAGACCTCGCCTGCTTACAGAGGAAGGATATGAGACTTTCTGGCAAAGAGCCCAAACTTTGCAACTCAAAGTGGTTTTCAACCCATGATTGTGCTAAAGTGTGCTCTTAGTTTGCATGTGATATAGCTGTGGAAACAAATGGCCTGTCAGTGTAGTCACAAGAGCTACACTAATATAAGATTGTCAAAGAAGGAGGATCAGAGCCTGAAACACCATAAAGTTCCATTTCATCTTTTGATATTTGACTTTTCCATCTCTTTTGAAAATGTCTTAGTTTCACTCCTCTCCTTCTGT